ACTTCTGTAGAGCAGAGAGAGAAAAACACAAGCTTACTTGTCAGCAGGACATCCTGCTATGATCATGTAGTTATATCTAGTTATATATATGCTTTATATAATATAGTAATAAATATATATATGTGTGTGTATACACACACACACACACACACACACACACATACACACACAACTATGTGATGATAATAGTGATAATAGTAGGATGGCAACAACAGTACTGACTGAGAACTTACTACATGCTAATTGCCATTTTAAGCATTTTACACCATTGAAATCATGCGTATATCCTTGACTATATTTATCCATATACATACATAGATATAGATATGTTTAGATCTACGTATATACGTATCTCTCTGTATCTTTATATAAAATTGTATGCTTTCATGCATTCTGAGACCCTTGTTGCTAGTTTTGAAACTTTTATGAGTTTCCAACCATTCATTCAATTGTTATAACTAATAATCTACAAGTTTTTAAAAAGATCAATAATTTGCAGTGCCTGTGACAGGTGATACAATTAGCTTTTATACCATAAATAGGTAAATCTTTTCCACTTACCTTAAAAAGAAATGTGGTTACTAATGGATCCCACAAAGTAGGGGGAGGTTCTCAGATCTTTCCGATTGAATTTAGCCCCTGATTGAAGGAGAGTAGCTGATGAGGTGACCTCTTGAATTGGTTCCTGTGTTTTATACCTGGAGTAACCTGGAATAAATTCCTGAAACAACATAGGTGTTTCATCCAGAGGGAGTCCCTCCCTCCCATCCTCCCTCCCTCCCTCCCTCCCTCTTTCTCTTTCTTCCTTCCTTCCTTCCTTCCTTCCTTCCTTCCTTCCTTCCTTTTCTTTCTTTTTTTCAGAGAGTTTTGCTCTAAGGTGCATGTGATTGCCAGAGAAACAAAGTGAGAAACCACCTCCCCACCCCAGGGGGGGGATGGCCACACCACAATCCCTTTTCCTCTTGGGATTTTGGGCATACACACACACACACACAGGCCCAGTGTGAGTTTCAAGCTGCCCGGGTGTGAGACTTGAACTGTGATCAGCCATGTGTGAGTCCAGCACCAGAACCATTATGGCATCTGTTGGTCCCTAGAGAGTCATTTCTTTACCGGACCAGATTAGATTTTAGAACTTCATAGTCTTGTCAAAAACACTTAGGTTTATTTTTAGGAGCAGGGACATTTTGCAGAGGATTCATTCCATTCGTGTGTGTGCATGTGTGTGTGTGTATTTGCCAGAGGGCACACAGGCTCACCAGAGAGAAAGAAAGCACCCTCCAAGGAGAATGGTCACACTGTAATCCCTTCTCCATCTCTCCCCCCTTTCAGGATTTTGGGCACGCACACACATGCACCCAGTGTGTTTTTCAAGCTGCAGATCTGGGATGCGAACTGCGCAGCTGACGATGTGGGATCCCTCTCACATAACCACCAGGCTGTGGACTGGCCCTCCATTATTTTTTAATATACTGTTCTCTCTGTTAAAGGTCGGCATTTCTGGCCCTGTCACCACAGTCTGGGAACTTGTCTTATTTGAGCCTGGTGGGACTCTCCTGCACTAACTACAGCATTGACTTAGGTTACTAATTTAATAGTCCTCACCAGTTTGCCCCCAGTGACCTCCTAGTAACCAGCTTCTTCAGCAACTTCTTTATGTGTGAAGTTTGGAGTGACAGTATTGCTTACCACAGAGCAGCCATTTGAACATAAAATTAGCTGATTTTATCACAGGGACCAATTGTTGAGCTAATTAGATGTGCAGGACTGCTGAGGAGCCAGAAACTAAGTGATTTTCCATCTAAACTGTGGTTTTCTGCAAAGTTGGCTGGCTTATCGACACCAGGCTCACCAACATCCACAGGAAAAGAAAACGGGAAGAGGTTTGCTTATTTCTACTCAGATTTGATAGGGCAGGAGAGTCTTCAGGAGGACCAAATCTTAAGGAGTGAAACTGGAACTTCACATTGGGTTTGCTGGCCCCGAAAGGGCTCAATTCTGTTCCCACAATTTGACAGCTGCTTCATGTCTTCAATGAGCTGAGGACTGTGCAGAACGTGTGGGAGGTGTTTTTTGCCTTATCATCTTTTTCCAACCTCAGGTTTTACATTGAAAATGTTTCCCTCAAAGAGTTTCGTGGTAGAATTAGTTGCACAATCATTTTGCCATCTTCCCATGACACATCTGTAACTTCTAATCAGTCTCATTTTCATGGCGTAGCTAAGATGTAATATATAATTCTTGCCCAAAGCTCAGAACCTTTGAATAAAGCTCAAAAACTTTTTGAGACCTGGGGACTGAGGATAAGAACCACAGGCACTCTGAAAATTTTACTGCTAAGCAGCGAACATGATAAAGAATGGTTTTATATTTCAAAGCTACTTCCTGTGTGGACCCACTGTTGCCATAAGAGGTGAAATTCAGAAGGGCCAGTTGTTTCAGGATATGGTACATACTGGGGGAAATGAACTCCCCCATTAGCGGTAGTGTTCTTGGCCCCAAGGCCTACCTGGAAATTAGAACTCTTTAATGTAATCAGACAACATTTGGTAAGATCAAGTCAGTGGTTGGTGCATCCTTTCCCCAACTTAGAAAACCTCTAACTTTTTGTCCCTATTATTCATTTCCTATGGTCACTGTAACAAATTATCACAAACCTTGTGGTTCAAAATAACAGGAACTTATTCTTTCTCATGGTTCTTGAAGCCAGAAGTCCGAAATCGGTTTCACTGGGCCAAAATGGCGTTGTTATCTCGGCTGTGCTCCCTCCAGGGTCTCTAGGGGAAAATCCCTTCCTTGCCTTCTAGCTCCTGGGAGCCTGTGGCCATGTCAGCTCCATCTCTGCCTCTATGGTCACACTGCCTCCTCCTCTTCTGATGTGTCTAATCTCTTTCTGCCTCTCTATAAGAGGGACACTGGGGTTTGCATTTAGGGTCTGAAAATCTAGGATAATCTTCTCATATAAAGGCCCTTACTTTAATCCACCTGTGAAATATTTTTCATGTAAGGTCACATTCCCAGGTTTCAGGCTTAAGACATGAAGATTTGGTGTGTGTGGGGGGGGGACCATTTTTTAGACTACCACGGTCTAAACTGCCTGGTTTTCTTTTATTTTATTTTTATTTATTTTTTTGGAGAGTTTTTGCTATAGGGCATGTGCACTTGCCAAAAAAACAGAGAGAAACAGAGAAACGGAAAGTGAGAAATTCCTTCTCCTCCATTCTCCTCTCGGGATCTTCGGCACACACGCACATGTGCCCAGCGTGAATTTAAGCCACCGGGTCCAGGACTGGAACCACGGTTGACTACATGGGAGTCCAGCAACATAGCCATTATGCTAAAGGCTGGTCCCTAAACTGCCAGGTTTTCAACCTGCCACTTATGGGTGTTCACCCCAAAATAGGAAACTTAAATTGGGGCATCTTCTTTGGACTGCTCAAGAGAGGAGAGCCATGTTCAAGTGGGAACCTATCTGGCTTCTCTAAATCCCAGGGCTATACACAGAATCCTTTCAAGTTGCCCGGAGAGGAGAGACTTGATTTTCCTCTCTTGGGTATTTTATCTAGTTCTGAAGGGAGGTCAAAATTTACATAATCCTTTGGAACATCTCTCCCTTCAAAAAAGACCCAAATTCACCCCAGTGCTACTTACTAAAGTAAAATATCAATAGCACACCAAAAATAACAACAGAAAAAAATATGCTAATAACTAGAAATATGTTTTTGGGAGGAGAATATCTGTGCATGCATGTGCATGTGCGTGCGCGTGTGTAAAATAAGTTAGACGGATGGCAAGAGTGTTCTAGTACTCTTACACATACTGTCTTTGAACCCTGACTTAATTTCTCTGTTTCTCATTTTGAAATTGTCAAAGTGCAGATAACTAAATTTCCCTATAGATTTGTTATAAGAATCAAGTGAGCTTTTATACATACATACATGCACACGCACACAATAGCATGCAGTAACAATCCAATATACACTTATTAAAACTGAGTCCCCTCTCACCATTTTTCTTCTTTTTTTTTTTTTTTTTTGAGAGGTTTTTGCTATAGGGCACATGTGCTTGCCAGAAAGACAGAGAGAGACCGAGAGACAGAAAGTGAGAAATCACCCCTCAAGGGGATGACCACGCCGCAATCCCTTCTCCTCCATTCTCCTCTCGTGATCTTGGGCATGCATGCACATGTGCCCAGCGTGAGTTTAAGCCACCAGTTCCAGGACTCGAACTGCAATCGACTACATGAGAGTCCAGCGACATAGCCATTATGCCAACTGCTGGTCCCATCTCTCCCGTTTTTCTGATCCAGAAAATAGTTTTAATTAATACCAAGCCCAAATGTGAGAAATCCCGTACACTAAGTGACTGTCTAGTCCTGTTATAACCATCATGATGTGACTGGACTCGCTCCTTCCCTAACAGGAGCTACAGATCCTTTGTGTTTGGTTTTAAGCATCTATAGGGTGAAAGTGACCTTCCCCTCTCTCCTCCCCCCACTTTCCTCAGTAAATTAATAAATTAATTACCTTATCAAATATGAATTACGCACTGATTAGTTGCCAGATTCACATTACCGTTGTTTCAGACGAAACAATCTGCAAAAAGAGCTTGTGAAGTCTGGTAATAAGTTGTTCCATGTGTCGTCACAGTAGCTCATACATCACAAATGCTCTTCCCTGTAGAAAATTTCCTAGGGGCTCTTGACATTTTCTCTATTAGAAGGATGGCCAGCAGATGACATAGCAATTATGTTGCTGGACTCCCATATGATTGCCTGCGATTCAAATCCTGGATTTGGTGGCTTGAAACTCATGCTGGGTGTATGTGCATCTGTGCCAAAGATCTCAGGAGGAGAATGGAGGAGAAGGGATTGAGGCACGGCCATTCCCTCTGTGGGGTGATATCTCACTTTCCCTCTTACCGTCTCTGTCTTTCTCTCTCTGGCAAGCACATGGACTAAGCCAAAAACCTCTTTAAAAAAAAAGAGAGAGAAATCTCTTGGGGGCTCCCCTTTCCCTGTGTGTCCCCAGTGCCAGGTACTACGTTTGACATCTAGCAGATTGTTAGCAAATATTTGTTGACCTCACAACTGAAAAGATGAGCAGGATAAGAAACCCATTATGTGGCCCCTAATTATAACTGAGTATTTTTGTCACCCTGAAATTTTGGTTGAAGCTCTTACCCACAACCGATAGTATTTGTAGATGAGATCTTTGGGAGGTAATTGGACTTAGATGAGGTCAGGAGGGTGAGGCCCTTGTGTTGAGGATAGTATCCTTATAAGAAGAGATCTACACGTACACAGAGAGGTCATGTGGGCACACCTAACCACCTACAAGCTAAGAAAAGAGACTTGGATGGTTCTTTGTTATGGCCACCCTGAAGACTAAGATAGCCCTCTTTTGTGTGTTCAGTCTTTGGGTGAGCGGGGGGAATCATGGCCCCAAATGAGAACCCCTAGTTGGGCCCTTGACTTTGTCTTTATCAACCATGACCTTGAATAAGTCCCAGCAGTTCTAGTTCCTAGTTTGTAAGATGAGAAAAACAAGAACAGTGAAACTTCTCATAAGTCTTAACAGTTTTCAGCCCTTTCTGCCATATTGTGCTTAGTGATCTTCACACCCACACAGGGTCTAGGGTAGGACCTGTTCTCCTCCCTGACCTACAAGGACACTGACACTCAGAGGGTTAATTCACATGCCTAGGATAATCCCTACAGTACATTCAGAGTTAGAGGCATTTGATTCTGAATTCCATTTGCTTTTACCCACACTGTGTGGAGGTACTTGGTAATCTGTCAAGTATCTTATGAATATCAGAGTTTAACGGGGTGACTCAAGACAAAGCTGTCTACAGGACTTCATCCTGCTTTTCCAGAGGCCCTTACATTTTAAACCATTGTTAAAATATGGTGTCAGGGAACCTTCCTGTAGGTCACGCACTGAGCAAATGTCAGGGTTATTTCTGTTTCTTTGTTCCCAGGGAAATGGGTAGGTTGCATGCTAGAAGTTTTCATTCTCAGTCGTCTGCTTGTTCTATGCTGTGGCGTTTAAAACACTGAAAGATTCCTGCTTTTACCAACATTGAAACATCATTTACTTGTACTGGAAGACCCTGAATCGACCTGGATAAATGTCGTAGGTATTTTGAGGTTTGAGGATTAAACAGCTTTTGTCTTTTTTTAAAAAAAAATGTATTTGTGCTATTGTTTAAAGCATGAACTTATGATTTAAAATACCCATGGAAATTCTCTGAATAATTCATTCACTTACTGTAGTCAAAGAGAAAAATCTCCCTTTGTGTGCCCAGCAATAGAGATAAAATTTCTCTAAGACCCATTTTGTAACTTTGTGGTTATAATTATGGATATTATTAGAAACTCTAAATAAGAACTTGTGAAATAAATATTTTAGAAATGCCCATTTCTGGGAGGCAGGCATCTAGATTTCTATGGATGCAGCCATATAGACAGCTAGGGCCTTAATCTTAATGGTTTAGTTGCATCTGGGTGGTTATTTTCATTTCCACTTATTACTGTGTGTTAGACTCCCTGTGTATGAGTACAGATTGCCCTTTCTTGCACTGTATTTAGAAATCTCTGCATTACCCCTGGGCATTTGTTCATTAATAGGGGGTGGGGAGAGGAAAAGCTTGTAATAATGGGCTTTACATATTATTAAACTGCGTTCATCCACATTTGGGCCCAAATGAAAATCTGGTTTGTGTTACTGCCCTCTGGTGGTTGTAGGCCTTTGCTGCAGTGGCAGGAAAGTGCCTCCAAGAATGGAGTTGGGCCCAGGGTGGCCGCTTCCGGGAGCAAGGCAGACTTGGGCATTGCTGGACAATCAGTCTTTCACTCACATTCACTGCTTTCCAGTCAAGTCCATCACAAGCACCCTCAGACTCTACTTACTGGCCGAATTGATGATAAAAGAAGACATTCTTAGGAAGATGGAGCATTTTCATTTTAGTGGAGGTATATACACAAAAAACCCTGACCAAGGTAAAGTGATGTTTGCAGGAACTGCATCCCTGAGGGCTACACTCCTACTCCTCTTTCCAGGTCAGTGCAGGAAGGCCCAGTGGCTCACGAAGAACTCCTTTTGGTACATAAGATCATTTTAGGATATCATTTTACATTTTCATTGTTGTGTCTGTATTTTAATACGTGTTTAGAAAATTGTAGAGCGTATTGATTTCATGAATGTTACTGCCTAGGTAAAGAGCAGGGGAATGTACCTATATACGCAACTGCCTTCTATGATTTTGTGCAGAGGTGCATCTCCTGCTTTTCTGTAGACGAGGCTAGAACATCCAGAGAGCTGCGTGGATGCCCTGGGGCAGCAATGGCTCTGTAGTTCCCTAGTAGTGTGACCTTGGATTGTTAACCTCTCCAAGCCTGGTTTCCTGACTTGTTAAACAGGATCATAATGGCTACTGCTTAGGGAGTTAAAGGGATGATATGACTTTATATATATAAAGCGTCTGGCACAGGACAGGTGCTCAGCAATGCCAGATTCTTCCATCTCCCCACACCCCAGATCACGTCTCCGACTCTGCCCCCCGCTCCATTTTCTCATCATGCTTTGCTTGCAATAGTCATTTCATTCGACCCGTTATGAGTTTCCACATGTCTTCTCCCTCTGGAAGATGAGTGGGACCTTCCCTTGATTTGCATCTTTTACAGCCCCCCATTCGGCCGACACTTTGTCAATGTCCCTCTGGTGAGTTAAACCCAAGCACACTGTCACTCCAACATGCTCCCAGCCTCCAACTCACGGAGTATGTTCCATCTATTGGATTAGGAGGGGACCTATGCATTTTGTTTCTCCTGTCTCTGATTCATGTGGTCTGATAACAGGTACAGGGTTAGATTCCCACCCACTGGTTACGAACAGGGAAGAAAAAAAGCCTGCGATGCCTAGTGCCTGCCTGCCTGCCTGCCGTTAAAATCACCGCTTATCATACCAACTAATACATAGGTATTATGTTTTTTTTTTCATTAATTTCAGTGGAAGAGCAGTGGAAGGCTGTGGAAACATTTTCGATACATCATTTCAGCAAGGGCTAGGAGAGGATCTATTTTAGAGAGAACAAAAGAGCCTTCCTTGTGCAGGCAGGTGGATTTATAAGCCTTGCCCGGGTTTAGTCTATATAAAATGGCCTTGGGAATGATATGATCAGAGAAACTACCAAGAGGGGAAGAAGGAGGCAGGGGCTCTTTGATTTTAGCGGCAAGAGAGGGAAAAGGGTTTGTGTTTCCCACTGAGGCCGCGCGTTTGCCTTTAACATTCCTGTTGATTTTGTCTCGGTGCCTTGTGATTCAGTTTCTCCCACTCACCTCCACAGCACTCCCCCGTTCAGGTCCTAAACGGCCGCCGAACGCCTGCCTGCATGTCTGCCATGGAGGCGATGTTCATTTAAGGCTTCGAGAGATCAGAGCTTTCATGTTTGCCACGAAAGCCACAGAGCCTGGAGCACCTCAGGAGCGGAGATGAAAGGACATTTGTGTTTGTGCATGTGTGTTTAGAGCTTAAAGGACAGGAAAAAGAAAGAAAATAGATGTTACTGCTTTGCACTTACTTCAAAATATGACTTACTCCCTCTGGTGGGACCATTTAACTCCAAATGCGCCGCCCATCCCCCTGCGCCCCCGCCGCGCGCCCCCCC